GTTTCTATTTTTTTAATTTAACAGTATATTTACGCTAAGAAATGAGGAGCTTGAGTAAACTACACAATAAACAAGTCATAATAATTTAGAGCTGAAGTTGGCAGAAATAAAAAATCAAACATAAAAACTCCTACTTACAAATGAAAATGAACATCATTAAGATCGCATAAACATGGTTTTAATTTTGTTTACAGGAGTCAACATATTTGACAAAATAAAACATATAAAAAACGAATTACTTTGGTCATACGGCAAAACAACTGACAAGTGAGTATAGCATCCATTAATTCTAGTTATTTGTAATTAGATTCTGGTTACAAAATCCACTTCCCTACCAACAACAATCTAAAAAAATAATCAAAAAACAAGGGTGACTTGTATTGATTTCATCTCTGTCCTTTCTTACCAAGTATTTCTGGTGTTTTTTTTTTCAGAAAGATTGTAATCTCAGTCTTTGGTGTTCTTCTTTGGCTCGGCCTGCAATAGATGCGTTCTCTCCAGCCTTGATTCAGCCCTTTTTTCTGTTTCAGTTTCTCATTGAAACTTCTACGCCTCTCTTTCCAGCCACCACATTCTTCAAGTTTCCCGGCGACACTCGCCGGATTATTGGCCGGAATCTCACCGGAAAATCAAGGAGCAACGCAAAGTGAGTGTTGGGCTTGTCGAGATTGGTCATAAAGTTGCATTCTTTGAACTCTTTTTGGAGATTTACTGTTTTTCCTGTCTGGGTTTTGATTGGTGAAGCTTTTCAACAATGGCGGAAGCTTCATAGCCGTACGAGGGGGAAAGTGTGTTTTTTGGGGTGGTTCCAGGGAAAATCTGAGTGTTGGGTTTTGATTATTTTAGTGCCGGACTTCACCAGAACCAAGAAAGATTTAATCTTTTTTTATTCTTTCGAGGTGGTTTCGGATATGTCAATAACTACTCGAGCATCCATTGACATTCATCTGTGAAATATTTTATGTTGAATTGCAACAAGTTTGGTGCTTGAATGGTTGAATGGTTGACTGGTTGAAACTGAATGGTTAAATGATCGGTTGAAAAATTGAATGAGTTTTTTAGATCCTTAAAATGTGCAAAGCTGAGGACTTTGAGAAGTTTAATTACAGAGAAGCAATGAAGGTGGGATTTAAGTTGATGGGGAGAGTTAAAAGGTTGAAGAGCTCAATGTTGAAGATGAACTCATGGCTGCTGATCATCCGGGCGATCGTTACAGCGTTGGTGTGGGCGTCGGCGGTGCAGCTGGTTGGGATTTGGCTGATTAAGGGGCCTAGTTTGTTCAATGTTTGGCGTCCTTGCACTCAGTTGGAATTGCCTGTTCATGCTACTGAATTGGCTAACAAGCTTCCAATGCCAATTGTTCTCCCACCAAAGAGTATGTTTTGATCTTGTCTGATGAAAAATCTGGATCGATTTCGTGTTTAATATTTTGCACACCCTCGTTTATTTCTCCTTTAGTTTATTCAATCGAAAGAATGGAAATAACAAGGTATGCAGGGGCAGGGCGAGAAAAATTGTGCACGGAAATCGTTTCTCCTTAGAGAACTGATGTTTGAGGGAGTACATTGAATTTTCATTCTTCATTCTAATCAGTTGCTTGCATGCTAAATTGTTTGGATGAATAAAAGTTGTGATTTACGGGTGCTGTTTGTGTCAGGGGTCTACAAAAACAATGGCTATCTCATGGTTTCTTGCAATGGAGGATTGAATCAAATGCGAGCGGCAGTGAGTTGCTAGCTACCTACTTCATCACAATTCTGAACGTTCTTTCCTTCGGTTTTGATGTTTTATCGCGGTTTGTCTCCCACCACCATGTTATTTTACTCATTGTTCGATTTCCTGCAGATCTGTGATATGGTTGCAGTTGCCAGATACTTGAATGTCACACTTATAGTTCCCGAGCTAGATAAAAACTCCTTTTGGGCTGCAAGGTAGGTCAATTTGTTTTCGAGTAAAATTACAAGGAATCCATAATCTCATTGTAAACCCCTTTATATGAATAAGGAAAGGGAGAGAATCTGAATGTCCTCTTGTGTTGGCACTTGGCAGTGAGTTTCAGGACATTTTTGATGTTGATCATTTCATTACATCCTTGAGAGACGAGGTTCGGATATTAAGGAAATTGCCACCGAAGCTCAGGAAAAGAGCTGTATACTCAATGCCACCGGTTAGTTGGTCTAACATGTCCTACTACCTTCATCAGGTTGGTTAGAATCCGAGCATCATTCTGTTTCCTTTTTGGTTTATGATCATTCTAAGCAGTTGAACTAACTTCTAGAGGTGTTTTCCAACAGATCCTGCCTCTGGTGCAGAAGTATAAAGTAGTACATTTGAATAAAACTGATGCTCGAGTAGCTAACAATGGGCTACCTCTTGAGTTCCAGAAGCTGCGCTGCCGAGTTAATTTCCATGCTCTGAGATTCACTTCCCAGATAGAGGAAATCGGTAGAAAGCTTCTCAGGATTTTGAGAGAAAAGGGCCCTTTTCTGGCTCTTCATCTCCGATATGAAATGGATATGTTGGCATTCTCTGGCTGCAGTCATGGTTGCAGCAATGATGAGGAGGAAGAACTCACCAAAATGCGGTAAATCCTCTTTCCATTTTTAATCTTTTTGTGCATCAATCATTACTAGTTTTTCGATTATTAACCTCTTTTAATTATGGAAATTGTTAGATATGCTAACCCCTTGTGGAAGATCAAAGACATAAATTCAGAAACAAAAAGGCTAGAAGGCTTGTGCCCCCTAACACCAGAGGAAACTGCTCTGGTGTTGGTTGCACTTGGAATTGATCACAACGTCCAGATTTATATCGCCTCTGGAGAAATGTATGGCGGAAACAGAAGGATGCAAGGTTTAAAAGCTGCTTTTCCGAATTTGGTAAGTAGAAGGAAGAAGAAGAAGCAACCTATTCAACAATTATACATCATAGGACTGCCATAACAGTTATCTTGAACTTTGGTGCAACAGGTCAGAAAAGAGACGCTGCTGGAGCCTTCGGATTTGAGGTATTTCCCGAACCACTCTTCCCAAATGGCAGCGTTGGACTATCTAGTCTCCTTAGAGAGTGATATATTTATTCCAACGTACGATGGAAACATGGCTAAAGTTGTTGAAGGCCAACGTAGGTAAATACATGTTCAATCCCCATCTCCATAGATTACTATAGTTCAGAACATCGTCTAACCTTTCAACTTTTTAGCAAGATAAGATCTGTTAATTTCAAATGATGTTTTGATCCGAGATATAAGTTTCTCCTTGGCTTTTTTTCATGCTTCAGATTCTTGGGTTTCAAAAGGACAGTTTTATTAGACAGAAGGCTACTGATTGGATTAATAGAACAATTCAGCACTGGCTCATTGAGCTGGGATGAGTTCTCTTACATTGTGAAGGAAGCTCACGCCAATCGGATGGGGAACCCAAAGAAGCGAGTTCCGATCCTAGATAAACCAAAGGAGGAAGATTACTTCTACTCAAATCCACATGAATGTTTGCAGCTGTTAGATGAACCCTTGAGAACCACAGGATCTTAGCATGACAAAGAGATTGTTTTTTTTCCCCTTCAAAATTATCTGCATTTTGTACCATTGAGAATTTTTCACAGGCAGTAGTTTAATGTACATAGAATTGGGTTGGGGGGTTTCGATCTTGGAGCCACTGCTTCGGGGGAAGGATTTAGGACGTCACGCTGCGTTCTAGAGGTGCATGTAAGTCTCTCCCTCGGCTTCGGGTACTCTTGATCAAAAAGCATTTGGAAAAATTTATAGAGTTTTCATTAATGAATCAAGGTTTTATGGAGAGAATACCAAATAAGATCATTGTGATTAAATAAGGGGCAATGTAGTTCACTTCCCTCAAAATCTCTCATGTACTTGTGCAAGCATATTTTTTTGCAACAAGATATTCACACCTACCCTCTCTCTCTCTCTCTCTCTCTCTCTCTCTCTCTCTCTCTCTCTCTCTCTCTCTCTCTTAAAATGACTCTAGTATTGGTGAACTAATCCATGGTCATATCATCTGAGTGAAATTGAGATTCTCTTCAAATTTCTGTATTTGAAGCCATCAGACCTAAAGATCTAGACCACTTATTTTAAATTATGCGATCTTTATTAGTTTATTCTACTGACTCATCTTACACAAACTAATAGTCTGAATCTATCATTCTCTTTCTTCAACTATTCAAATCTCTGAATCCTTAGGACACTAAATACTAAAAATCCGGAAAGAATGTCGACCTACGCTGATTCCATAAGAAAATAATTAACAAAAACTTCAATTACTTTTGTGGATAAAATACAAAAAGTGAACTTGATGAACTAGGCATGCGTAAGCTATTGAGATTGGTGGGGCCAAAAGCATCCAATGCTGACAGCAACATGACATCTGGAAAGCTGATGTTTCTAAGGTAATGATCCCCATCATTTCATATCCTTAGTCTGCACCAAACCTTGTTTCTCGAATGAGGATCTTGAGGATCCAAAGAGGATCCTGCTGATTGTTTCATTGTTTAGTTTTTCGGTTATACCTAGGTTGCTTAGTTCCCATTAAAATAAAATATATGTATTATTTTAGAAGTTAGGGTACACCAACCCCATGCTTCAAGCATAATATTAAAGAAGAAATCATGCCTTGTAGAATGCGACAAACTTTTAATAAAAATATTACTGTAACAGTATTTCAGATTATTATTATTATTTAAAATCGTGATACTGTATGATTGAAATATTGTCACAAGGCTTCTCAATGTATGTTTTCTTTGAACAATTTGTTCTTAGAGTTTTAGTCGTTGAATTCTTAGCTAAGAGTTTAACAGTTACGAAACTCGGTACATGTTATGAGCCAGTTCATTCTAGAATTTTTCTTCAGTGTGGTTTAGAGAGCGAGAGAAACCATGTTAGTTGAAATGAGTGATCCCAGAAAACTTGGTGCCCTAAAATCCAATTTCGTAATATTGGATAGTATGTAACAACTTCGTCTTAATAAATGAACGAAACAGCAAGAGAACATAAGAAGGACCGAAAGCCGCTTCACTTTTGATGCATGGAACCATCCATCTGAAACTTCAAAAGTACCAACAAATGAATATCTCACACTTCTATCTAGGGAAAATCCATGCACAAAGGAGAACAAACCATCTACAATTGACCTTTAGCCTAGTTGTTCTGTTGCCCATGTAATTTCCAAACAAAATGTGACCTGCCCGAGAACCCCGTCATCCCAATAAAACCACGAAAACCAAATATAACACACTAAGAAAAGCTAGAAACTATCTAGTCTAGCCGTCTCTTGTTCTGAACCGCTTATGAGCCGGTTCAAATCCCCCATCACAGCTACTTACTTGAGCCTGTGTCATCATTTGATTGTTCATGGATCGGTTTGCACGTGCCTGAACAAACAAATATCAAGGGATAAGGGAAATATTGTGAATTCCTATTGGTAGCAGATGTAGTAACAATGGTGTTTAGCATGATGGTAGAGATTCTAAACGAACCTTCGAACTAGATGCTACAGATGTCAGCCCACTGTCAGCTCGATTCGCGACATCCATTTGAACAGAGATGCTGGCCAGGGACAAGTCCAGGCCAGCAGATTGCAGTGCCTGCGTCAGATTGTTCAAAACCCTGCTCAACACAAAACCTACCTCAGAAACCGTGGAATGATACTTTACAATAAAAACCCTTATTATGACAACTTCTTGTAACATGCCAATCGACTTTTAAGTCTCCGCTGGTAACACTTTCAAAGTTTTAACACAAAATATCAACTTAGAAGCATGCTTTCCATAGAAAACAATCAGGGAAATACAAGCACACATAATCTGTGCATGAATCAGACTATCAGTCAATGACGGCTATGTGGCATGGCTACTGTGTGAAAGATAATATAGCACAGGAAACAAGCTTGAAACATGGCTGGTCCTCCAAGAAGATAAACATGTTAATTAAAAAAATTTGGTAGCTGGTGCAATAATGTTATCGAGAGATATTTCTGGGAGCTCACCCTTGAGAGTAGGCACTTGAGATGCTACCAGATCCACTATGTTCATCCTGTTTATTCAGTTTACCATCTGAAACGGTTGAAGATGTTATACCCGCCATCGATGGGAATTGGGGTCGAGAAGCCATGTTCCGAACATCAGTAATAGATTCCTGCAACGGCTGTGTTGGTACTCCACTCCCAACAGAATCAAAGATGCTTTGTTGCTGCACATTGGGAACTGATTGAGTAGCTAGCCCGGCAATGTGATCCAGTGCTTTGTAAACAACAGTGGAACCCAAGTCAGATTCCACTAAGTTTTGAGCGTTGGGGAGCATTGCTGGTGAGACAACCACATTATTCTCATGACCTGAACCATTGTTCATAACTTGAGACTGGTCTGCTAAATTTTCTCCAGACCTATTATGATTTTTCTGTGGCAAACAGACAAATGGGAGGTCACTAAGTTTCCGCAGGGCAGACTGCTATAATCAATACCCTAGGCAATCTAGATATATTTGGTAACACCATGACAGTTGCTAGCTATACTATTTCTTAAAGTCCAAAGTAACCTTCAAAAATCCTAAATAAGCCCAAAAATATATAGAGTTGGAGTCATCGCCCGTACGGTCTTGTTCTCCAGTAACAGTAAAAGAGCCTCTCTGCCTAGATTTGGGTGCATGTTGCAACTGTTTTGTGCAGGTGTCTATGTGGTGTTTGTCTCATGTACCATATACATGTTATGAAGTAAAGCACAACAGAATTTTATAGTTTTCCAATTTTGTTCTTTCACCCATAATGTGAATTAAAGGACATAAACTGCAGCTTCCGTCTACTAATTTGAAAATTACACAAATGAACTATTGCAAAAGATACAGTCCGACTGTGAATCCCGTGGCATAAAGGCAAGTTTCTATTGTCACCAGTTGGACATGCTTGTTAGCACATGCCAATCCAAAGTATGTCTAGTACATGTCGTCTACTGTTCAAAACAGGTCCTTTCACTTTTTTCAGGTTCAAAGTAACACCTATAGAGATTGACAATGAAATACAAAAGTGATAAAGACGTATGACTCCAATACCATAGCACATGCAAGCAAACACTACCTCACACACAGAAACAGATATCGAGCATTAGAATTTTACCCATGGCACCAGTTTGGTTGGCTCGGGACTCCACCCTTGGTATGACCCCTCGTATAAATTTACCCTCTCCTGTAAAAATTGAACGTACTCTATAACCTGCATATAGATACAGTAATATTTCAATATGATGCTCAACACATTCCACCAAAATAATAAGATAACGAGGATAAAACATTAAAAACACGCTTGGAATGCATACCTCCAACAACAAGGAAGCCTTATCTCTTTTCTGATCATTTTGGGGTATGATATCTCTCAACATCTGAAATCTGCCTCAGAAATATATATTGCCCAGGTGAGTGAAGAGTTTACACCCATGCTAATAGAACAAAAAGACCCGCATGGCACAAAACAGCAGCAAAAAAGGATAAAACTTTATACGACAACAAGACGGGAGGGAAGACTACAATTGAAATTCAACACAAAATGCTTTCATTAGAAACAAACAACCACTGGGTAATCGCTTCTCAAATTTGCTAACTTGCATGACCAATTCGCAAATTGAGTTTCGAATAGCCAAAATTGTTTGCCTACAAGGTATCAAACATTTTGAAGAGTTTGGTAATCATAAAGTTTCGATTTTTAAGAAGAAAAAAAAATCACTTTAATTCAACAACTCATAATTTGAGCTTAACATTCAACAAAATATGTACTTTCAACTTTTCCAGTAGATACATTGTGACAATTGGCATTCGAATCAGAAATTTTTCGAGTTCAAGCAACACGGAAAATCGAATAATATAAAATCAAAATCGACAAAGAACAATTAAAGGAGTGCTTGAATTAGAAAGGGTAAAGCTTTGAGCTTGAAGAGCTTGCCTCTCATTAATCTTGCTCCTCCGGCGCTGCTCGGTTTCGGAATGTTTGGACCGGTTCTTCTCCCTGCCTTGCCCTTCTACCTTCACTGCCAATTCCCCTATCAATTCCTCATGAGCTTCACTTGCATACCAATTTATTATTTTTCAAAAAATAAAATTCTTTATTTCTTCAAAATAATATAAAATAAAAACCAACAGTCAACTCATAGCTCACAGAGGAGAGAGAGAGACCTCCATGAGACACTTCATCGTCGTCTTCAAATTCATCGTGGTTGCCCGTTGAAGCTTTCGCCATCTACGACAGCCTAAATTACATAAATTTCTCCCGAAATTAAATATAAATACACAAAAAAAATGAAGACAATATTACAGAGAGAGAGAGTACTGAGGAGCTCGGGGAGGAAGGCGCGGTGTGAGAGTGAAAGGTAGCGATGGTGGCGGCGGAAATGCGGAGGTCCGGGACCAAGATGGGGGCCCGAATTGGGTCCGACGGAGCTGGAAATGGTGGAAAAAGAGTCTGGTTTTGGTGGAGCTTTTTGTGCCGATGCGTTGTCGTTTTGGAGTTTTGTATTTGAGCCAACGGTTACAGTGAGACAACCATACAAATTTGGAGCCCTAGGTGGCTACTCCTACTGTTTCTGTCGTTTTCCTGAATCATTAATAAATTATTATTAAATATTAAACATTAAATCTTGATTATTCTCTCAATTAATCTTATTTTTTATTTCTTCAATTAATCTTAATTTATTAATTAATATTCTTCTGTAGTGCCCGCCACTATTTCTAACGTGACCCGCCACCGCGCCTAATTGGTGCATTTTTTCTTTGTTGTACGCTTAATTTGTTTTATTTTGCCTAATATTAGGTTTCAATCTCGTAAATGACGAAATTGATATCAAATGAGATTGTTTATTGTGTGGTTTAGCCGAACTCTCTCTCTTCTTAGTATAAAAATATCAATGTACTCAAAAAAAAAAAAAACCATTAAATCTTGATTATTCTCTCGATTAATCTTTTTTTTTTATTTTTTTTCTTCAATTAATCTTAATTTATTAATTAATATTATTCTGTAGTGCCCGCCACTATTTCTAACGTGACCCGCCGCGCCTAATTGGTGCATTTTTTCTTTGTTGGACGCCTAATTTGTTTTATTTTGCCCACTTGATTATCATATTAATATTATAAAATATTGTGTAAAAAAAAAAAAAAAAGATGATAGAAAGTACATTGAGAGTTATATTTTTGAGCGAGTCTCCTTAATATTTATCTTCCAATTTACGATAAAGAGATTTGAATTTGTGTGCAAGAATGCAATAAAATATACGCATTATTCTGGTCCACTAGCGTATCCTGTAACTTTAACCTGACACTGTCCAAGACTTCTGATGGTCATCATAGTTAAGCACGTGATTTTTTTTTTTTTTTTTTAACAATAGTGACGTAGGGGAACGGGAGGGGAAAATGACTCTTCGAGTATATGAGTTAGAGTAAATGCTCTTAACAAACTGAGTTACAAATTATTTGCACTACATGATTTGCTTTTATATAAATACAAGGTTGATTATTTGATATAATATTTTACATTAATTATATTCTTGCTACATCAATAGTGTGACAGTTGATGTAAGTCATGTGGCTTATTACATATCTTACATAATTTCTCCATCATTGGATTGTAACAATGGAAAATAATAATCACACACCCTTTTCCTCTCCTTCCACACTTGTTGATACACCAAACACTTTGATTTCCGGCCAGATGTTTCCGTTTATTTTATTCAATTCGATGCCAAAAAATGAAGAGAGATGTGTAAGAGGAGAAAAAAAGCGTGTTGTTATCATTTTCCACAACAATTAACTTCTAGGAGATCTCAAGGGCTTCAAGTCAAAGAGAGCAATAGTACTCTTCTTCCTTGGCTATGCTTGGAACAAGTTGAGACTCATGGTATAAGCCGTTGGTATGCCGTAAGTTCAAGTCCAAACTAGCCAATTGTTACTTTGTTTGAGAAGTGCTTAGCAGCGGCTAGATTCCACGCCTCCGGTCCATCCTCCGGCCTTCCACTCCTTGAACGCTTCGTCTCTCCGTGGAAGCAACCGGACAACGACGTCAACAAGGACATGAACCAACTCGCCATGTTCTTACTCATGGTTTTGATCTTAACTTGGAAGGCAAGGAACTGATGAGGTTGTGTTTCTCCTGGTTTTGTTGCTGCTACTTGGACTTCTGTCTTTGCTTTATATACAGCTTCTTTTTCTTGGAGCTCAAGTTTTTACTTGTTGAAAAATCAAATACTATAGGACCATGGCATGGGGTTTTTTACTTTTCCTGTTGACACTTTGTTGACCAAAGTCTCCCATAATTTAGCAGCAAGTTTCTTGGAAGCCAAAGGTTTTCTTGAGAGGCAAACAAAGATTAACCAACATGAACTTCAAAACCTAATTATGTATCTTTCTAAGGCCCCACATAACTTCGACTAAGAAAAGAAATCTAACCAATACTTGAACGAGGAAAAACTTGAGTAGGGCATTCAAAGCACGTTGATGATGTCAACAGTTGGGAAATTTCTGGCAAAAATCTAAGAGCTTTTTTGGTATTCTACTTGAATTTAATTTTTAAACTCAAAAACAATTTTCAAGTTTTAGGCCTTAAAAACTTGTTTGGTATGACTATTTAAAAAAACAGAATTCAAGACTAACTCAAAAATATAGTCTATTATCTAAAAACACATAAAGTGAGTTTTTAGAGTTTTTAAACTTAAACTCACTCGTTTCTTTTCTCTTCCTCCTCCCCTCTCACTCCAAACCTCTCTCTCTTTTATTCCTTCTCTCACCCATCTCTTTCTTCTTCTTTTTTTACATTTTTCGTCTCTCCTCCAATCCGCTCTCTTCATTCTCTCAGTTCTTTTTCTCACTCCTCTTCCCCTCTGTCTCCTTCCATCCTCTCACTTCTTTCTCTTTCCTCCAATCATCTCTTATTTTATTTCCTCTTCTATCCCCTTTCTCTCTTAAACCCCCTCTTTTTGGATCTCTTTGTCCAGTTTAAGTTGTAAGATTTAGAATTTTCAAATCGCATACCAAACAAGTTTTTGAGTCTTAAAGAAAATTGTTTTCAAGAAAAATTCTTAAGAAATGTTTTGAGAAATTATAAAAAAAAATTAAATAAAATATCAAACAAGCCCTAAGATTTTATGTATTTTAATCACATTTGATTATATCGTGGTGGCCCTATGAAGCTTTTGCCATCTCCTATTGCCTAAATTACATAAAATTCTCCCAAAATTAAATAAATAAACAAAAAAAAAAATTGAAGACAATTTTACAGAGAGAGTACTGAGGAGCTCGGGGAGGAGGGCGCGGTGTGAGAGCGAGAGGTGGCGGTGGAAATGCGGAGGTCCAGGGCCAAGATGGGTGCCCGAAATAGGTCCGTCGGAGCTGGAAATAGTGGAAAAAGGGTCTGGTGTTGGGAGCTTTTTGTGCTGATGTGTTTTCGTTTTGGAGTTTTGTTTTTGCGACAATGGTTATAGTAGGACAAACAACCATAGACCTTTGGAGCCCTAGGTCGCGACTCTTACCGTTTCTGTTTTTGATATTTTACTAAAGAAAATAAGGTAGACTTAACCTCATAATATACTAGTATTAATATGAATCAAATTCGTTTTTGGTGAGAATCGAACCTAAGACATCTCACTTACCGTCATACTAAATGGGACTCTTACTGTTTATGTCGATTCCTAAATCATTATTTTTTTTAAGAATTAATTATTAAGTAAATTAAACATTTAATCTTGATTATTCTCACAATTAATCTTAATTTAATTAATATTAGAGTTTTTATCACAAATGGTTTTGAAATTGACACACATCAGTACAATGCAGTTGCGGACAAATTAGCCAATTTAGGGCTTTTCTCGTCTTCACTTGGTTGACATACCGCTCCTCCTATAGAGATTCTTCATTTTCTGCATTCAGATTTCTTGGACATGCTGGCCTATAGGTTTGTCTCCCCTTCTTGATGTATGATTTTCATTTTTAATTAATCTTTTGGATTTTTATTTTTAGTTTTGCAGCTTGTCTTGCAAGTTTTTACCTTTTAGGTTTTATATTAGAGGGGTTCGCTCCTATATCCACCCCTCTTTTTCTTGTATTTTCTTTTTCAAGAGTGGTACAGTGTATGTCCCCCCATTTTCTTGTATTTCTTTTTCAAGAGGGGTAAGGTGTTAGGTATACGTCCCTCCCCTTTTCTTGTATTTTTGTTTTTCTTGCTTTATAAGTAGTAAAGTTTATGTCCCTTTAGACTATGTGTAACTTGATTTTTCTATATCAATAAATTTCCAAGAAAAAAAAAAAAAAAAACTTGACATTGTCCAAGATTTCTGATGGTCATCATAGTTAAGCATGTGATTTTTTTTTTTCATTTTTTTTTCTTCTAATGATACAAGTGATGTAGGGGAGGGGGAGCAGAAAAATGAATTTTCGAGTATATGAGCCAGAGTAAATTCTCTTAATCAACTGTGTTACAAGTTCTTTACAATATGTTGTTTGTTTTTATATAAATACAAGGTTGATCATTTGATATAATGTTTTACATCAATTATTACATATCTTACATAATGCCTCCACCATTGGATTATAGCAATGAAAATAATAATCGCACACCATTTTCCTCTCCTTCCACACTAGTTGATGCACAAAATTGACACTTTGGTTTCCGGCGAGGAGTTTTCATTAAATTTCTTCACTTCAATAACCAAACATGAAAATAGATGTGTAAGAGGAGAAAAAGATCGTATCGTTGTCATTTCCCACTACAATTAACTTCTAGAAGATCTCATAGGCTTCAAAGAGATCCATAGTACCCTTCTTCCTTGGCTGTCTGGAACAAGTTGAGACTCATATGATATGAGCCGTTGGTATGCCATAAGTTCAAGTCCATACTAGCCAATTGTTACTTTATTTGAGAGGTGCTTAGCAGCAGTGGCTACATTCCACGCCTCCGGTCCATCCTCCGGCCTTCCGCTCCTCGAACGCTTCGTCTCTCCATGGAAGCAACGGGACAACGACCTCAACAAGGACATGAACCAACTCGCCTTGTTCTCACTCATGGTTTTGATCTTAACTTGGCTTTAAAGGAGGCTTTCAAACAAGGAAGGCAGGAACTGATGGGGTTGTGTTTCTCCTGGTTTTGTTGCTGCTACTTGGACTTCTATCTTTGCTTTATATATAAATTCTTTTTCTTGGAGCTCAAGTTGTGACCGATGTCTCCCATCATTTCTCGGCAAGTTCCAGGAACCCAAAGATTTTCTTGAGAGGCAAACAAAGATTAACCAACAGAACTTCAAAACCCATTTACGTATCTTTCTAAGGCCCCACATCAACTTTGACCAAGAAAAAAAAATTGACCAATACTTGAGCAAGGAGAAAAACTCGTGTGGGAGCATTCAGAGCACGCCAATGACGTCAGCAGTAGAGAAATTCTCGCATAAACATGATCTTATGTATTCTAGTCTCACTCGACCCCAAGTTGATTCCACCTGATGTGAAAGTTGTCCTAGTCAAGCATTTCTACACAAGTTTTTTCTCT